CATGGATGTCACCATGAGGACCCATGGTGGACATCGCATCAGGAGAATTACTCGGGCATCACAGCGCATTTAGAAGGGTAGAACTGTATGATATAAAACATTAGGCAGCTAATTAAATCGATGAACAAAAATAAATCTCATTTCAAGAAGTAATGTCTCAAAGACATCAAGGTCTGCCCAACTCAAGAAAGCATCTTACAAGATACTATTCTCCACTTCATTCGAGACCTAATCTGATAGGTTGGAGCAGACACCCAAAATGAAAGAAGAAACTAGGCTTATACCCAAGTTTTATTTTTTGAGCTCTACTCCAAATGCCTTCCCACTTAATCTATTAGAAGCACCTGCTAAGAGGCCCCTGGGCGGCTCAGTCCATTGAGCGGCTACCTTCAGCTCAGGTCATGATCCCGGGGTCCTGGGATCAGTTCCACATCTCCCTTTCCCTCTGCGCTTCCCCCTGCTCATGCTCTCTCTCTTTTTTCTCACTCTCAAATAATAAAATCTTTCAAAAAAAATAACACACACAAAGAAGAAGCACCCACTAAAAACAAAGCAACAAAACCAGATCCTTCCTTCCCACAGAATGACACAACAGATACCTTACAGTACCCCTGCCCAAATAAAAATAACAAAAGAAGAAGAAGAAAATACAACATCTTCTTAAACGCATTGGTGAGTTGACAATAAAGGAAGAGATAGGAGAAGTGGGAAAGGTGCGGAACCAGAACCTCCGGTCACGCTGACCCTCTGTGATGATCCTTCTGCGGAGCAGAGAGGCCATAAACCCAGGTTACTCAGCTGTGAGCTGAACAGACCCCTTCATTACACTGGGCCCCACAGAACTGGGCCCTCGGGATATGGGTGATTTCTTTTTAAAGTGGGTATATTTGGGGTGGGGGATGGGGTGGAAAATCTCCCTTGAGAATCTATAACTGGCAACGAGTACTCTGTGGTTTTGTGGTCCAAATTCAAAAACCACAAGTAGGGAATTGAGCTGATGGTGCCTACTGGTACCTAAAAGGAGCAAATGTAACTACTTCAAACTAGGCCTTAAAGAACTTGCACAGATAAAACTGCTAAGGAACGTGAGTTCACAGTCAATAAACCACTAACACGCAAGGAAACACATCACCATGAACGAGTGCCAACAGACACAGGCAAATGAGTCAGATCTGAAAAGATGTCACATACCGGAATTCAAATGCTGGAAGGCAACATAAAATAAGCAGATTTAACATATCTCAATAAATAAGGGAAGTCTGAAAAGGAGTAAAATCTCATTTAAAAGTATTACCACATGGACATCAGAAGGGACCAAAAATAATGGCTAAATATTTCAAAATTAAAAAAACATATTTATTGAGCACCTATATCCTAGGTGTTGTACCTTTGTCTAGTCTCTGTAGACAAAGCAGTAGGGTGAAATAAATAAATAAGTAAATGAATGGATAAATACATAAACAAAACTTGGAAGTGTAAAAATCCTTTTTTTTATCAAGGACAGTGTAAACAGCAGATTAAAAATAAGCTGAAAAGAAACTGGTGACTCAAAAGACAAATGCAAAGAAATGATCCAGAATTGTGCAGGCAAGGACAAAAACAACAAAAAAGAAAAAGGGACACAGACCAGGGAAGTGAGAAACTCTTACCATATGCCTGGTGGGGGGGTTCTTGTTGAAGAAAATAATAAAGAAACTAGGTAGAGGCATTATTCTAATAAATAATGGTGAAATTTCCCTAATATCAATCTTCAGACTCAGAAAATCCAAAAAGTCACCATCAGGAAAAGGGGAAGGGGCAAGGAAAGAGAGCTCCCCACTTGGATGTAAGAAACCACGAGCACCAAAGACAAAGCAGAATCTTTAAAGCCGTCAGAAGGCAAGAGAGTTGAGCTATTTGAACTGGACTTGGAACATCACATGGGAGTGTAGCAGGCACAAAAGGAAAGGAATAAGTCTCCCACAGAGCAGTGTAAGCAAAGGCACAGAAGGAAACAAAAACGGGTCATGCAGATTTCACAAACTGCCAGGCTCCGCCGCACTGTATCCGAAGACAAGAATGTCCTCCCACTGTCCGCATCAACCCTAACACAGAAACCGGTCTCCTACAGCCCCTAACAAGTTAAAACGACCACCCCTGCGGACCCAATCGCTAAAGTTACCTTCCACCACCAGTGCTCGTAAGGCTAGCCCTCCGTCTCTCCTAACCTTAGAACTTTGGAGGCACAGCTACGGAACTGTGAACTTCAAAGCACGTCAGTCTATGGCAATTCCAACTGGAGGGCTTATGTCAAGTACCAAATCCAGGAAGCCTGGTGTGCCTGCAGGAGAAATACAGGCAGAAGGGAAACCTCAAGTAATACCATGTGAACGTGTGTTTTCCTTCTCTTGGCCAAACTCCCCTAGGTTTTCTATGCCATCGTGACTCCCAGGCTTTCCTTCCTGATAGCGATGACTGGAAGAGAAGAAGGACAAGGAGCACTGCGTTACAGTCCCTGCCTCAAGCCAGCCTATTCTGGGGGGACCGCGTCCACTGACTGTTCACCCCTCTCGGTTGTAAGCACCTCCGTTGGGGAACTCACATGAAACAGCCAAAGAAAACAGCGGGGTGGACGCTCGGGGTGGCGGGGGAGATGCTCACTGAACGAGTACATGAAGCCTCGACCACATTAAACACCCAGGAGAGTGAAAATCTGCAAACGAGAATTTGAGAAGTTCAGAGATTCCTCTGTGAATGCCGGAGCTGCCCTGACCTGTGTGACTGTGTGGCCAGACTCCAGGCCCCACTGCTTCGGAAGTAGCAGGAGGAAGCTCGTGCCACCATTCAGGGGAATTGAGCCTCGTTGCTGCGAGCAGCGCAGGAAGCTCATGAGGGACAAGGGGCGGCCGGAGCAGACACTCGTCCCAGCCACGCAGAGGTTGCTCGGTTCACCATCAGCCACGGGATGCGGCCTCACCAGTGCGAGCACCAGGCTCGTCCAGAAGCCTCCCCCTCCACGAGGACGAGGCTTATTTAACTGTTTGTTGTAAGGCTGCCTGTGTAATAATGCAAAGCGTAAAAGAACTCCTGGACGTGTCTGCCCCGTCAGTGTCCCCGCGGTGTATAAGCAGTGAGGCAGGGTCATTGTCAAGAGAACAGTCCAGGAAATCAAACCAATCTGGGTTCTAGTGCTGGCTCCGCCAGTCTCCGAGTGCCCGAGGCCAGGCAAGCTGCCTGACGCCCTAGCCACAGCCGAGTCACACTTCCAAGAAAGCAGACCCACCTTCCGCCAGGCTTTTGGTGAAGATTCAAAATAGGTATAGGTACACAGAGCATCCGATAAGTAAATAAAAATTCTTCAGAAGCCTAAAGAAACAGAGCTTCTAATCATATAGCCCACTACTGAAAAATAAAGTGGATTCCATTTATTCCCAAACTGACTCACACTGAAAGCTCACATCCTTGAGGGCAACTTCCCAGCGGGGCACACCAACAGGACCACTCAGCCAACGCTGTGCACTTGAAGACATGGGTCTACACTTGGAAGGATCTGGGCTCCAGAAAACCTCTGTGAACTATATGAGAAGATTTCTGGCAAAGTTGAGTGTCTCCGCTGTGTTATCTTCACTAACCCGGTCCTGGAAGGGTCTGGGTGATGGGGGCGGTGTCGGAAACAGGCAAGCCCAGTCCTCTGCCTACACCAGCCTCGGCATCAACTCACGACTTATCCAAGAACCCAGGAGAGCCTCCGTTAGGAAAGGGACATTTTTCATCACATCTCAGACTGATAATATAGTCTCAGTAAAATCATGAAACAATAACTCTTGAAAATACTAAATTTCAATAAGCTCATTCAATGTTTAAGTATGATCATAAACCAAGAATCCATGAAATGAGAACAAGTAGCAGACACTGGTGGAAAAAATAGAGTGGAAGAGTTATGATACCATGGGCACCAGGGTTGTTTCAAATCCTGACAGCAACACGGTCTCCACAGCGCCAAGTGTGAGATAAACATACTGCCCACCTCCCTGTCTGCCCAGCTGCACCATGGGAAATACCCACTTGGACCCTCAGGATCCTCATCTAGGAAACAGGACTTGTTTAATGTTCCTATGATGATGTGATGATCAAAGACATAAATACTTGGCCCAGGGTCTATCTGTAGCGTTCTACGTTGGTAGAGTAAAAGGAAAACAAAATAGCCAAATGGACCAAAGTGACACATACAGGACGTGGCCACTTCCATAAGAAAAGAGCCAGCAGGAGCCTGGGTGGCTCAGTGGGTTAGGCCTCTGCCTTCAGCTCAGGTCATGATCTCACGGTCCTGGATGGAGCCCCATATCAGGCTCTCTGCTCAGTAGGGAGCCTGCTTCCCTCTCCCTCTGCCTTCCTCTCTGCCTACTTGTGGTCTCTTTCTCTGTCGAATGTATAAATAAAATCTTAAAGAAAGAAAAGAGCCAGCATATCAAGAGACACCCACTGAAGGTCACAGGATAGGAAATAATGGGTGACCCTGACCTTGACAATAAGCGTTAGTTACTGGGAAGATAAGAATTACAGGCTATCAGCAAGGAAATGAAGTAAGCCCACCACACCATCACTGGGTTTGCGGGGAGGACGCAAAGGGTCAAAGTTCACAACTCACTGGGCATCTGTCAGGGGAAGAATAAAGCCAGGAAGGAATAGCTAATTCAAAGGCCACATCCTCACTGAGCTTCCATACTGGCTGCCCAGTTCCCAGAATCACAGGCTACAAATCTTCATCACTCCTCTCTGCCCAGAGTTGCAAGCTGCCTTTATGGTCTTTCTTGGCCTTCGGGCAACAGAAAGGGCTCTGGAGACCCTGCCTCAGAGCTGTGTCAGGAGGAGTTAAGAGCAACAGCCCCTGCAAGGTCAAGTTGCTTTTGGGGCCAGAAGGTGAGCAACGCCTATCCCTGAGCACAGAGAGCGGCTCCGGTGGACAGGGGGCAGCAGAACGGGCCAGGGCAGGGTCAGCCCCAGCTCTGGCTCCCACCTACCTCCCAAAGCAGCCCTTCTGCATCTACCGATGGGCTCCTTCCACGTTATTCTCACGCACGCTTCCTCGGGCCGGCTCCTGTCTCTTCCTTCATGATGTTCCCAACCACACGCTTCTGGGAAACCCCCAAAGATCTCAGTGGTGGCCCTGGAAGAAAGGAGCAACATGAGCTCAGCCACGGGGAAAATGGAACCATCTAACCCTGAAGCTCAGAGGCACATTATCAACTCAGGCCACGTCACTGGAAGCGAAATGAAAGTGCTAGATCAGAAAACAAAAAATGCACAACAGGCCTTCCCAACTCCTACCCTCCTCTTTCCAAGCTTTCTGTTTTTTAGAGCCTTTTTTTTTTTTTTTTTTGCCAAAAATACACATAACTTGAAACCGCACCTTTTCTTCATTGAAAACTCAAGTCTGTAACTCTCGACGTCACAGAGGCATTTCTCTTTTTATGTATTTATCTACATTCTTTGTCAAGGAATAACTGATTTTCATAAATCAACTACATCAACCTCAGTATGAAAACAAACGGTAACTAGGGTTACCCTCTTTACGAGTTGATGAAAAGGTGGTCCCTTCTCTGAGGCCAAACCATTACCCTTGCGAATGCTACCTGCTGGTTACATCCGTGTCAACGGGTTTCTGCATAACCAGGAAGTTAGAGATGTTTTTGCATCTGACAAAGAACAAAGAGCCCTCTTCATACAGTCCCTCATCGACAGCTGCTGGTACTTCCACACAAATGTGTAATTTAATGGCAGCTTGCAACAGAGCATCTCACTGTAGTCGCGTTTCATCAACAGCATTCTGTTTTCTTCTCTCTAGAACCATCTATCAGAAGTGCATCCTCAACCCTTTCCAGGGTCACATAAGCCCTGCATCACTGACTAGCTGATGAAGGTGAAGGCTACTCTGGTACCACTCAAATTTCAGAAAGACCTTTAGCTCTCTGAAGCCCATCCTTGGACACCAGGATAAAAATCCTAAGGCCATGTGCCAAACAGGATGGCAGCCATCTTGAACCTACCCAAGAGGATTAACTTTTTGAGGAAACAATTCTTGCGATAAAAGAAACCACTCTTAGCACAGAGAATCTTGTCAGAGACTAAGGCAGTCCCTTGATTACCCTCTCTTTATCCTGTCTATGAGAAATAGGACTATACCCGGAAATAATCAAATACAGGTGGTCTCTGGGTTATGATGGTTTAACTTACGACTTCTTGACTATGACGATGCAAAAAGCAATACACATTCGGCAGAAACCATGCTTTGAATTTGGATCGATTCCTGGTCTAGGGCTCTGCAGTAGAATACTCTCTCATGATGCTGGGCGGCAACAAGCCTCAGCTCCCAGGCATCCAGCAGACATGAGGGTAACTTACAGCCATTCTGTACCCACACAACCCCTCTGGTTTTCATTTTCAGTACTGAATTCAGTATTGAATAAATTACATGACTCATTCAACACCTGATTATAAACTAGGTTCTGTGTTAGTTGACTCTGCCCAGCTAGAGGCTAAGGTCAGCGTTCCAAGTATGGTTAAGGTAGGCTGGGCTGAGCTATGATGCTCAGTACATTAGCTATAGCAAAAACGCATTTTCAACTTACAATACTTTTAACTTAGGACGTGTTTATCATGACATAAGCTCACAGTAAGTCGAGGAAGTTGTGTACAGTTGCAAAGAAAGCTACGGTCACAAATTAACTGAAAAACTAACAAAAATTAGGCCTGTCATTACACTGACTCAAGACTATTGAATTAAAGCTTCGGAGTAAAATATACATAAAAGAACATCATCTCCTGATAATAAAACATACAGAATAGACACCTAAAGATAAAGCAAGGATTTTGCCCCCACAAGAAAAGCGTACCTCAGGAAACAGGTATCATCTTATACTCAAGACCTCATATTATGAACAAAAATCTGTTTATTTTGAATTATAAAATAATGTTCGGGAAAGTAACTTCAACCAATGTTGGCCTTAGATGTTTTCAGAGAAAAGGAAGCAAAGGAACAGACTCAACAATTATTTCTGGAGGCACATCCTAACAAGGGCATTTATAGGATACCATTTTTTAAAAGCCCCAAATCCAGACTGCTTTTTTAAAATGATATTTAATTATCACGATTAAAAAATGACATTTAATATCATTTAAAAGAGCAATCTGGATTTTGGAATAATCGATGACCCACAGAATGGAGCTGTTTATCTCTGCTTGCCTCCAAATCGCCCCGCAATTAGAATTGTAGTAAAGCGAGAAAAAGACCAAAATTCCTAAGGACAAAGAGAAGAGAAAAGTAGGTGAGAGGAGACAACAGACATCAGCGACTTTGGAAGCCGAAAGCAGAGATGACCACCGAGCCCTGCAGAGCATGCTGGGACCTCCCTGCCCAGAGAAGCAAACAGCCCCAGCCAACTGCTCAGGGAACGGGGCTGGGGTTCCTCAGAAGGACAGGGGAAGGGGCGGGCTGGACAGGGACTGACTAAAAGTCTGAACAGAGCAGTTAGACCCTTCCCTGATGCCATGCACAAAAATTAACTCAAACTGGATTCAAGGCCTTCACGGAAGAGCTGACAATAAAAACTGCTAGAAGAAAACACATGATGCTGGGCCCAGCAATGATTTCTTGGATCTGACCCCAAAAGTGCAGGCTACAGAAAAAAACATAGACAAATGGGAACAGTCAGTCACAATGTAGACTATGGGCTGGGAAAAAATATTTGCAAACTACATATACGATAATGGAGCTAATACATAGGATACATAAAGAATTCCTACAACCCTGGGGCAAATAATACATTATATGTTAATAAAAATTTTTTAAAAAAAGAATTCCTACAAGTTAACCCAAAGGACAAATAACCCAATTTTAAAAACGGCCAAAGCACTTGAAGAGACATTTCTCCGAAGAAGACACAGAGGTGGTTCAGAGGAATATAAAAGGGGGCTCAGCATCACTGATCATCAGGGGAAATAAAAATCCACCTGAGAGAAGCACCTCACACTGTCAGTGGCTGCGAAGGAGGGAAGGGATGAAACCACAAGGTGCTGGTGAGCACGTGGGAAAAAAGGAGCCTGTGTGCGCTGCTGGTGGGAAGGCAAACTGGGGCAGCCCCTCTGGAAAACAGTATGGAGGCTCCTTAAAAACTTGAAAATAGAGCTACCCTACGACCCAGCAATCGCACTAATGGGTATCTACCCTGAAGAGTACAAGAACACTAACTCAAAAAGCTACGTGCAACCCTGTTTATTGCAGTGTTATTTATAACAACCAAATCACACAAGCAGTCCCAAGTGTCCACTAACTGATGAATGGATAAAGAAGATGTAATACACACACACACACACACACACACACACACACACACACAGGAATATTATTCAGCCATAAAAAAGAATGAAATCTTGCCATTTGCAATGACATGGATGGAGCCAGAGGGTACAATGCTGAGTGAATTATGTCAGAGAAGAACAAATATCACATGACTCCACTCATAGGTGGAATTTAAGAAACAAAACAAGTGAGAAGCAAAGAAAAAGAGTGACAAAATCTTAACTCTAGACAAATGACTGACGGTCACTGAAGGGGAGGTATGGGAGGAGGATGGGGGAAACAGGTGATGGGGATGAAGGCATGCACCTGTCACGATGAACACAGGGTGATGTAGAGAACTGCAAATGAGTATATTGTACACATGAAACTAACAGAACACTAAATGTTAATTATAGGTGAATAAAATGTGGGGAAAAATTTTTAAATAAAAAAAAATTTAAAACAAAGATACCTGCACACCCAGGTTCACTGCAGCACTATTCACAATAGCCAAGAGGGAGAAGCAACCTAAATGTCTGTCAATGGGTGAATCGTTAAAGAAAAAGTGGTACAGACACAAAATGGGATACTAACACTTAGTCTTAAAAAATGAGCCAAACTATGGAAAGAACCTAGATGTCCATCAACAGATGAATGGATAAAGAAGATGTGGTATATATATACAATGGAATACTATGCAGCCATCTAAAGAAATGAAATCTTGCCATTTGCGACGACGTAGATGGAATTAGAGGGTATCATGCTGAGCAAAATAAGTCAATCAGAGAAAGACAATTATATGATCTCTCTGAAATGAGGAATTTGAGAGGCAGGGCAGGGGGTTGTGGGGAGTAGGGACGGAAAAAATGAAACAAGGTGGGATCGGGAGGGAGACCAACCATAAGAGACTCCTAATCTCACAAAACAAACTGAGGGTTGCCGGGCGGAGGGGGGTAGGGAGGGTGGTGGGGTTATGGACATTGGGGAGGTTATGTGCTATGGTAAGTGCTGTGAAGTGTAAACCTGGCAATTCACAGACCTGTGCCCCTGGGGCTAATAATACATTATATGTTAATTAAAAAATTTAAAAAATTTTTTTAAAAATGAGGCAATCCTGTCATGTGCTACAACATGGAAGAACTTTGGGGACATTATGCTGAGTAAGAGAAGCCTGTCGCCCAAAGAGGAAAAGTTTAAGACTCCATTTCCATGAGGTACGTGAAGCAGTCAGGCTCTTAGAGATCGGGAGTAAAGAGTGGATGCCAGAGGCTAGGGCAGGAGGATGGGAGAGCTCTGTCCATGGGTACAGAGTTTCAGTTTCATAAGATGAAAAAGTTCTAGAGGTCTGCGGCAGAACAGTATCAATAGAGTTTACACTACGTACTAGGCACTTAGAAATGGTTAAAATGGTAAATTTTATATTTTTTGTTTTTTACCATAATTAAAAAAAAAGGTAGGAGGAGATTATTCTGGATTACCTAGGTGGATCCAGTGTAATCACAAGATTCCTAAAAAGTGAAAGAGAGAGGCAGAAGAACTCAGAGAAATGCAGTATGAGACGTATTTGACCTGTTCACTTAAAGCAGCCCCTACCTGGAAGGGGGCCAACAACCAAGGATGGCAGCCAGCCTGTAGAAGCTAGAACAAAGTAGGGAATGGATTTTCCTCTAGAACTGCCAGGAAGGAAGGCAACCAGACACCTTGACTGGGGCCCAGTGAGAACCATTAAACTTCTGACGTACAGAACTGTACAGTCAAAAAACTACCGTGTTGTTTGAAGCCAAAATGTGAAGGGGCAATTAGAGTCCCAGATCTTTTCCCCATCCAAACAAACCATCCCTATTCCTATCAAACAAGAACAGGATCCTCTTTTTAAAAATAAAATATTCAGAGACCAATAAAAATTAAAACATGCTGGCAGAAATTAAAAGTTCAACAATAATAGGAAAATCTCTCAGAAAGAACAAAAACACACAGAGATGGAAAATAGTTCAGAAGGGACGCCTGGGTTGCTCAGTCGGTTAAGAGTCCACATTTTGCTCAGGTCATGATCCCAAGGTCCTGGGATCAACCCCTGCATCGGGCTCCTGCTCAGCAAGAGGCCTGCTTCTCACTCTCCCTCTACCCGCCACTCCCCCTGCTTGTGCTCCCTCTCTCTCTTTCAGTCAAATAAATAAATAAAATCTTTAAAAAACAAAAAAAAATTCAGAAAAAAACATAAGAAAATGAGAGAATCAAACCAGTGGGTCCAAATATCCAAATAACAAGCTCGCAAGAAAGAGGAAAAAAAGAGTGGAAAGGACATTATCCACGTAGTATAAGAAAATTTCCCAAACTGAAGGATATGAGTTTTAGAATTGAAAGGACCACTGACATCAAAAGATTGTTAAGACCTGTGTCCCAGCTGGGAACTTCAGCACTCTGGGGGATAAAGAAGAGTCAAACATTTTCCAGAGAAACAAAGCAGATCACACACAACCAGCTGGGAAGCAGAACTTAAGTGTCACAATGCTCAGCCACAAAGAAAACCCAGTCGTAATAAAGCAAACATTAAATACTAATGTACTCACACACAGTAACATGACTATACGCATCAAGTGGAGACAGGAGGGGGCGGCGCAAGCTGAGAGTAAGGGATGATGTGTGAGGGCTAAATCCTTAGCAGGAAATCAGTAAAAGTCTAAAATTTTAAGAGAGACCAATAAGTGACATTCACAGCCTATGGTGTGTTATTTAGAAACAGGCAGGCAAATGCGAGAGAGTATAAGGAGAAGAGTCAGAAAGGGCTGCCTCTGGGCACAGGAGTGATGGCAGCGTAAGTGCAATGGGGGATGGCTGTCACCGTACTGTGTTTTCTTTTAAAGATTCATTTATTTGTTTGAGAGAGAGCATGTGTGAGCGGGCAAGAGAAGCAGAGGGAGAGGGAGAGAGAATCCCAAGCAGACTCAGTGCTGCATGAGGAGCCAGATGTGGGGCTCGAGCTCCCAACCCTGAGATCACGACCAGAGCTGAAATCAAGAATCAGACGCTTAACCAACCGAGCCACCCAAACATCCCTGTTATAGTATTATTTTAATTGTAAACAATGGGCATGTACTTACCTCAAAATAAATATACTAAACAAATGAATAGATGGAAGCAAGAAAGAAGGAAAGAATATTTAACAAAGCCAACCCACAAACCGTCACCCAGTGGACAGCTCCAAGATAACAGCTGTCCTAACACTGGGCACGTGGTTACTAACAGCTTGGAGTAAAATTTCCAATTATAGCCTCACACACAGATTCCCAATGTGCTGCACCGCAGCCAACCAAAATGGTAATGTGCTCTGGAAAATGCTACTGGGAGCTTTAACAATGTGACCAATAATAGAGACGCCGACATCAGATATGTACGTAAGGACTGGGAGGAAAAGGGAAGAAAACTACTCTGAGGTAGGAGACAGCATGAGTTATAATATTGTATGACAGAGACACACTATTATTAAATATACAATAAGTGACTAAGTTAATTAAATGGTATAGGTAAGCATTTGACTATTATCTTTATATACCCAAAACATTCTTTATATATTCAAATTGGCCACAAAAATTGGGTGTTTTTTTTTTTTTTAAGGTCTTCTCCGTGGAAAAACATGGGAAATACAAATCAAGTCTAAAAGGTACATAAAGAAATTAAAAGCCCATTTACCTGAATCATGTTGCTTTTGTCTGTATCAATCTTCCTTCCAACCTAGAAGAAAATACTAAGTAAATTAAAATGTAATGAGCAGCTTATAAGAAAACAAGCTGTTTCTAAGAAAAAAAAAACTAAAACCCAAGGTAACTACTGTTTACTTCTTGTTCTCTATCCATAGCAAAAAACTGTTCTTTCCCACTTCCCAGCTAATTTCTGGCTGCCACGGTATACAGAGTAAATTTTATTAGGCAAAGTCATGCAGAAGCAAGCAAGCAAATCCACCACTCATAAAAAAATGTATAACAAGTATACCTAATGGTAGAGCATGAGTTTTTTTGTTTTTGTTTTTAAAGATTTTATTTATTTATTTGAGAGAGAGACAGTGAGAGAGAGCATGAGCGAGACGGTCAGAGAAAGAAGCAGACTCCCCGTGGAGCCGGGAACCTGATGCGGGACTCGATCCCAGGACTCCAGGATCATGACCCGAACCGAAGGCTGTCGTCCAACCAACTGAGCCACCCAGGCGTCCCTAGAGCATGAGTTTTAAAACCATACACTTTTCTGAATTATCTCTTCTCCAGTCAGGCAAATAATTTGCTAATTGATGATACAGAGAAAGATAAAAAAGCAAGAAAAATTCATTTTTCAAACTATAAAAATTACTACAGGGTAAAAGGGCAGCAACCTGTTTAAATTCTCATTCTTTATTGAACACAATTACTAGCAAGTAGAACATTTACAGACCATGTATATGAAAATGAGTATGATCGAAGAGTTTCTAAGTCGTCTTCGACACACACCCCCTTAAAGGCTTAGACTTGCTTCCTCATTTAATTTCATTAAAGACTTTCTCAACTAAGAATGAGCTATCACCCTTCCAATACCAGTGTGAATTATGGTACCTGCAGAAAGAGGAAAAAGTTACCCCTTTTTTTTAATTAAAAAAGATTATTTATTTATTTGAGAAAGAGCGAGAGAGCATGAGCAGGGGGAGAGGCAAAGGGAGAAGGAGACTCCACGTTGAGCAGGGAGCCCGATGCAGGACTCGATCCCAGAACTCTGGAGATCGTGACCTGAGCAGAAAAAATAGATGCTTAACTGACTGAGCCACCCAGGAGCCCCAAAAGTTACCTTTTTAAAAACTTAAGTAACATTTGTATTAACGTATTGCCGGCATACAGAAAAAAAAAAAAAAAAGAAAGAAAGAAAAAAAACAGAAATCTTGAGTGACTTGCTTAATTTACCTAAAGCCAACACACCCTTGCAGCCACCGCTCTCCCCAGAGGTCACCTGTCAAACACCACACATTAGTTTCGCCTGTGGGCAAGGTCCTGTTATCCAGACATCTGTCTGAGAATCCACAAACCCCTGTATCCGGACCAAAATAAAATGCTCTGGGAAGAGAGAAGCAAGTCATCGCTGATAACAAGGAGATACTGTCTCAGAAAGATGCTGACACATCAGAGGAAACTGTTTTGGCTGACTGGATGGTTGTTTGAGGTCGACCTGCAGCATCTTGAGACTGTAGGATACAGAAGCTATGATATAAACAGATGCATGTCTCACTGGTGGTTAGATAAGGGAAGGGAGGACGGAGATTGAACTCCTTTCTATAGGTACAAAAAAAAACAGCTATGAAAATACAGGTAATAACCAGACGAGTTTGGGCTAAAAGCAAGACTAAAGGACAGATCCATCAACTCCTCTGATCTTCCAACCGCTCTGAAGCCTGCAGACAGATAAGGAAGCGGAGTCTCCAAGTGGGTAAGGGTGACAGGCCAAGCTCAACAGTAGGTAAGGCCAAACAGTTCCTCCTTTTTTTTCCTAAAGATTTTACTGATTTGAGAGGGAGAGAGAGCACAAGCAGGAGGAGCAACAGACGGAGAGGGAGAAGCAGACTCCCCGCTGGGCAGGGAGCCCAATGCTGGACTCCATCCCGGGACCCTGACATCATGACCTGACCAAAGGCATGTGCTTAACTGACTGAGCCACCCAGGCACCTCCAAAGCTGTTCTTCTTCATGGCTTCTATGCAGGGCTAGAGACACCAGAAAACCAAAGGAAAATGTTCAGAAAAGAGGCCAGGCTAATTAGATACAGAATATACTATATGGTTCCTGCTCGTGAGTCATTTAAAGGCAAAGATCAAGCAATCGGGGTCCATAAAAGTCTTCTGAATTACCAGAGAGTTGAGTAGTTCTGTCGTTTGTAAAGTAGGCCCACTTATCTTTCTGAGCCTCAAAGGAGAAGTTTCAAAAGAAATCCGTACACTTCGCAAGGTGTAAATTTCTGTCATGTTCAGTTGTTTTATGCTCTGTATGCTTTTCCCACTGCAGCAGGAGAAATCAAAAGAACATGATGTCCGTGAGGAGAAGTCACAGATGCAGAGGCAAACTGCCACCAGACAATTACTGAGGACCCTATGATAATGCCACCTTCAAACGACACACCGTAGCTGCATGAATATTTAATTCAATCATAGATATTTTCAAAAAGCAGGGAACACGGTTCAAAAGAAGAATGTTCTATTCTGCTACTCGAAGACGGAGAGGCAAGAAAACATCCAAGAAGAGCGGAGGTAAGACGCCATGTGATGTGCTCGCCGAAAGGCATGTCGCTCAAAGCGCCTTCTGCACCCTCACTGAGAAGTATGAAATAATGTCAATAGCTAGGACCTTCAGACACCATATGTAAATCAATTAACTGCCTTTACATTTAATCCGGAGAACTGTGCAAAGCAGGGAGGCCTCAGGATCCCCCGCTGATCGGATGCAGCCGCTAGGCCCAGAGGGATCAGGTTACTTGTCCAAGCTTGCAAACCTGGCCAAGGTCACAGTGCGAGGAAGAAGGAAAGAGTTCCCATCAAGTCTGCAGGGTACCAGTGACACTGTTCTGGCTTCCAGATGAAAGTGACCAAGCCTGCTGCTCCATTTAAAAATCACTTAATGATTCTTTCACTATTTCCTGGTTTCAAATTGCTTCTGGTTTATCCTGAATGAAGGGTTATCGGCCTGCCTTCCCCCTGTGAGATGGGGTAATGTCTTGATGGCAAGTGGCGTGAGGACAGAACCAAAAATAGGCCTGGACGGTCTCTTTTTCATAGAGGAGCTAATGGTTCAAGCAGCTGAGAGCTCTCTGGGGATCTTCTGTATATGGGATCGGGCCCACTTGCACAGTAAAGCATACAGGGGAAAAAAAATTACACGGGTTGGGCTGTGGCTCTAACTTTCAGTTGAGACCAAGTGCAGTAAGCCAAGGACCTTCGCAGACAGTAACCCAGCGACAGGCAGGAGAATACTGGGGAGAAAGAGGACAGAATAAGGGAGTCTTTCCTTATTTGCTAATTCTGGGGAGCAATACTCACCCCGCTCTGTGTCTCTTAGCGCTGACTTCCTCTCCAGAAAAACCACACTGGGGCGGAAGGCTCAAAAGGGTGAAAAGGAATGAGCGTTAAAGAAGCAAGGCTTCTTCAACTGAGGAAGGAAAAGATTCAAGTTCACAGCATTCCAGAAGGCATGGCCAGCTCCCACTTTACAGGTTTATATTTGAAGGGCCAGTCCTGTCAAACCTTATCACTTCCTCCTGGGGTGGCTTCATCTTGGGGGCCAGCCTGAGCGATGGGGAGGAAGAGGATGCCCACAGGACAACCCCAGGAGACGAAGCTGAAATCAGCTGCCACTGCCCACCACGGACACATGACAGGAAACTGCGGTGGGCACGCTTCACTGTTGGCAGCCCCAGCCCAACTCTGTAATTATAATTCAGTTATTTCTTCTCAGTGGGACGATGGTGTGTAATTAGACGAGAATAATACGGAGACCAGTAACAGCACAATATCAACTTAATTATACTTTTCTATTTTTATTACATTTTTCCATTAAGATGACACTTTATTAGAATAGTAAAGACCACTGCAGCTTTTCTCATTCTCACTCATAAACAGCAAATGTAAATTAAGTCTTAATCTCCGACTACAAAATCCAAAGTACAAAGTTAGTGCTTTCTTTCTAATCTCGAACAAGCAGCACAGTTTAATTGCACGGTTTCTCTCTCTCTCCTGCTTGGAGGAGAACCTCAGCAGTCTCTCAGGAGGGATGGATTCAGGGGCAGGCATCAGGTCAAGTCTACACGACCGGAAGGGGCCGCGGGCACCTGCAGACCCCGCCAGGCTGCCTTCTGGTAGCAGCTGGCATCACCCTCTTCACCAGGGAGAGCAATGTGGGAGGACACTCCAGGAAAGCCTTGATCTGCCCCTCACTTGTTTCTTTCTAGCTACCGAGAAGAACACATATTTAATGAAAATTAAAGGAGCTGAGCATAAAGAGAACGTTCCGATTTCCTCTTTAAACACTTTGAAGCAGTTCGGACTTGAGAAAAAAAACCCAGCAGGGCTGGCCAACCCAGCTGCCCTAACCACTGCCGGTCACAGAACCGCCCTTTCCCGGCCCCGGAAGAAGGAAAATTTAGCTAACTGGTAAGAATACAAGATGCATTAAAACGAAATCCCGAACTTAGTCCAGTGTAGGAGCAGATTAATTTATTAACTCCAGTTCTCGGCCGAGAATCAGCCCCGTGACTCGAAGCAGATGCGGGCGGACGCGCGTCAGGGCGTCAGCGCAGCCCTCTGACTTCCGGGGACTCGGCCACGTGATGCAGCTCCATATACACAGCCGCAGCGGATTGGACCTGCAGGAACACCTGACCACAAGGCAGCCACTCATGGGCTGGCTGGGAACCTAAAACAATGGGGCCAGCCAATCAGATGGCTGCCTCGAAACCTGGACTCCAAAAACCCTAAAGGAAGTTGCTAGTTAGATGCTGGGGTACAAGGCCAAGCGGGCTACTGCTGGGGGTCTGGGCCAGCGCCCTGAGCCACATGTGTCGTGGGAAGTGCACACCGACCCGGGGTCAGCCTGCCCTGGTTTCCACCACTAGCAAATCACCGCAGGCAGAGCTCATGATGGCCACGGACGCTGAACTTACGGGGAAGGACCTGCGATGGACGCGTCTGGGTGGGACAAAACCACCTTGTTTGAGGTCGAACAGCTCACATCA